CATCACCCTTCTGAGTCATGTGTACAAGCTGTTTACGAGAGTCATCACGAGTCGTCTCGCACGTAGATTTGACGACTTCCAGCCTCCTGAACAAGCCGGTTTTCGAAAAGGTACCATAGACCACATTCATACGCTACGACAGATTATACAGAAGACTGGGGAGTATAATCTGCCACTGTTCTTGGCGTTTGTGGACTATGAGAAAGCCTTTGACTCTGTCGAGACCTGGGCCGTGCTTAGGTCACTCCAGAGGTGCCAAATTGACTATCGATACATCCAAGTGCTGCAGTCGCTCTATGAAAACGCCACCATGTCAGTTCGGCTCCAGAACCAAAACTCGAAAGCAATACGACTTCAGCGCGGAGTGAGACAGGGCGATGTTATATTGCCGAAACTGTTCAATGCTGCATTGGAGGACATGTTTAAGCTTTTGGACTGGAGAGGACTTGGCATCAATATAAACGGCGAGTACATGACGCACTTTCGTTTCGCTGATGATATCGTAGTCATGGCTGAGACCATGGAAGATCTATGTAGGCACAATGCTCGAAGACCTCTGTAGAGTTTCCCAGCAAGTCAAACTCCCATGTCGTACCCACTTCATTGAACGTTGGAGGCTCTACACTGGAAGCCGTCGACGAGTACGTTTACCTGGGGCAAATAGTCCGATTAGGTAAGTCTAACTTCCAGAGAGAGGTAAATCGATGGATCCAACTCGGCTGGCCAGCGTTCGGGAAGCTACGCAGTGTATTCTCGGAACATCTACCGCAGTGTCTCAAGACGAAATTCTTCAATTTGTGCGTGTTGCCAGTGATGCGAACGGTACTGAGACGTGGCTGCTTACGATGGGCCTTATAAGGAAGCTCAAAGTCGCTCAGAGGGCAATGAAAAGGGCTATGCTCGGAGTTTCTTTGCTAGATCGAATCAGAAATGATGAGATCCGCAGAAGAACGAAAGTCACCGACATAGCCCAAAGAATTGCGAACCTCAAGTGGCAGTGGGTAGGGCACATCGCTTGCAGGACTGACGGCCGTTGGGGCGGTAAGGTCCTGGAGACGCAGTGTTGGGAGGCCCCCCACAAGGCGGACCGACGATCTGGTGAAGGTCGCGGGAAGCCGCTGGATGCGGGAGGCGCAGGGCCGATCGCTTTGGAGATCTTTGGGGGAGGCCTATGCCCAGCAGTGGGTCTCTCGGCTGAATTGATGATGATGAAAACTTGTATTATTCGTTAACTTGCAAAGATAACTTAACTGTGATAGTTGTCCTATTAAATTCGTTTTATATAAATGCTTCTGAAAACAACCGTTTAGTTGGTAGAGGGGGAAGACATTTGACTCTAATGAAAAATGGCAGCTTAATAATTAGTCAGAATGGTTAACTAAATCGAAAAATTATCTTTCCACACATATTTTTGAAAGGCCTATCTAACGATACCTCACGCAATAGGAACATAAAAAAATTATCCCCCATTTTACATGTAGGAGAGGTAATCGAACAAAAACTTTTTTCAAAATTTTATTTTGCCATTTTCTAATGGTGTGATTAACGTGTATACTCATGATAATTTGCAACTTTCTAATACCAATCGATTTTGAGCTAAACCGTGGATCGACGGACAAACAGATATACAGTAAAGACATCAAATATAAAGTCATCAGACACAAAAATTATAAAGTAAGTTAACAGCAAATCAAGTTATTTAAAATGAATCAAATTCATTCATTATGAAACATAAAACATTGAAATTTAAAATCGATCACAGAAAATTTACATAATGTGGAAACCTAGCGTGACTGTTATACGTTATACCATATATTTTTACTAGAGCTGTAGAGTCTACACTAAACGTAGGTACAATATTGCTAAAACCAGCTTGTCCTGGTCACTCGATAACCACTGTGTGCACCATTAAGCTCATGATGAAAAATTGGTTACAAAAAATATATGAGTGGAGTGTGCCTGGAGTGGAGACTTTGTGGAGACAGTGCTTTGTATGGGAAAAGAAAATTATTGTTTGCAATATTTTCCTCGTATTTTTAACGTTTTTTTTTTCAAGCACATTCCTCAGAGTTCACTAAACGCAATAAAAAACAAATCAGGCAAATCGTTTTAGCAGTTCTCGTGTTTTTCTCTAAGCAACACATTTAGTGGTTCATTTTTAGCTATATTAATATACGTAATTAAAGCCACAGGCGTGATTAATTACAATTAATCATCGTAACATTAATAACATTTTAATCACGTTATATTAACATGATTGGTTTTAGGAATTAAGGTAGGGAAATTATTCGTGAAGTTCGTAATACCACAATTTTGTTATCCATCAGTTTCGGAATGGATTCTATGCAAATTGACACTGTTAATTATGTTGATGTCATCGTGTGTCTTCAGAATTTATAAAGTAACGATATTACGCTACCCACATGCTTTTTGTAGCATGAAACTACCAGAATCTCATAAAATCATATGAACCGTGAAATTCGGAACAAGGTTATGAGTTCGCAAACAGTAAGATCTAGTTTGTTATTAGTGTCATTAAATTTAAAAAACAGAAAAAAGGTGTTTTGTGAAAAAATAGATAAGAATAAATACAAATAAATCTGTTCGTTATAGTAAAGGCAAAGGCCTTTTCAACAGAAATGGTATAGTTGAATTATATCTGGAGTTCAATCCGCCAGATTGGAGTATTACAGCCCATCCTCCCTAACCATCCATAAGTAAGACCTGTAATGGGAAAATTTACACGGTCGAAGTCGCGAATCAGTTTTAATCATATTATATTTATATATAACAACAAAATCGTAATCGAACATAATTAATTGCCTAAGAAGCTATTTTTATCAGATACCTAATACGTGTGAATGCATTTTACTAATGACATATTTTTCATTTTAAATTAAATGAATAACATCACATTTTTATTTCAAACTGCTGATCTGTTTTGGATAAGTACATCCAAACATGCTTAAGTACGATTATGTTTCATGATAAACGAACACAGGTGTGAACATTCCTAATAAATTGCCCATTTATTTTATAAGGTAGAGGCAGCGAGTATGCCATTAGTTCCTGAATTGCTTTTGCATAGGAGCTGTTCGCCTTCAGGAGATTTGAATACATTCTTCAGACAATCCTCGAATTTTTATACTTCTTAAATGTTTATAATAGATTTACTTAATTGTTGCGATAGCGATAGTTTTGTTATACTATCCAAAAATAGTTAGAGTATAGATAGTACTATTATATTTTAATATTTATTCCTGCCTATCCCGCAAGATACGTCAAGCCATTGGCTCTACATCTGCAGTCGTTTGCAACTTCTGCGCACTGGACTCGAGTGGTGGGTCATGGCCCGTTCTCTCTATTCGGTTAGATTCCATTCATAGGAAAGGCCTATGCACCAGCAATGGGGACAAACGGGCCGTTATATATGGCGATATAGGTATGGTACATATATACGATTTTTTAAAATAAAATCATCATAAAACTGGTGATACGGTTTTATGTTAAAAAAATTACTGACATTCATCATTCGTCCGTAATTGGTAATCAGTGAAAAAACGATTAATTAGTAGGCACCTACTATCAAGAAATTATAAAGATGTTGCTGGCACTTCAAAATTATTCAGTAACAATATTTTAAGCTAAACAAAATTATAATAATTTTCATTAGAATATCTTTATGGATGAATTATTTCATTTCAAATCAACATATGTGTCAAGGATGTGGAAGAGTTCAGAAAAAAACAGTTTTCTTAATGATTGTAATTATGACTAAGTATATGAAGTAATTACATTACGGATAGGTCATGTCTCTTATAGAAAAAAACTCTCTGAGGCGGCAAACGTTGTTTTGTCATTATAAGTTTGGTAGAGCACGCTTTTGACTTAGGTATATAAAAAATAGATAACACTCTATTTTCAGACATATGTTCAATAGGTCTAATATGGCCTAATATACATTAAATTTCATCAATATTAAACCGTTTCGAAGGAGAATGGTAATTAAAATATAAAAACTTTATTCATTGGATAGAGATTTATATTATGTGTTGAATTAACATGTTGAGTTGTTAATATTTTATTATATTCACGAACTGTCTTGTCGCTTCAGACAAAGGATGCTCAGCCTTCAAGTTACTTCATAAAATATTTAGGAAATTTATCGACCATTACATTTGTCATTGGGGCTACATCATATAGTAATAACTATGCTATTCTATGAAAACGGCCTTGAATACGTAATCTAACGTAGCAATGTCATATAATACAGTTTAAATTAATTAAAACTTTTATTACCTTTTAAAGAATATTTTATTTGATTGAACTTTTATTCTATGACAATACTAAGGGCAATTCTGCTCACGTTAGCGTAATCTTAGAATAATAATCGTAATTATGGACAGCTAATACCGCTTCCACTACAACCCTTTATGACACAGTTCTTGTTACTAGATAACAAAATAATAAATATATCAGTCACCATTGATTTGTGAGGTAGACGTTGCACTAATATTGGATTTCAGGCAGATAGGACCATGGCAAAATGCAATTAGTTCAGATTGAGATGCTATTATTATGTAAAAATTATCGAAGAGTTTGAGGTTACTTTTGTAACAGAATAGCGCTGTAGATCATTTTGAAAGTCCAGGTTAAAATTTATTTGATATATTAACACACAGTTGTACAAACGTCCATTCGGTTTAATGAAAATTTCATGCTCTAATGAATGTCCCAAATTTGTTTTGTATTGAAAATGTGGCTTTAAACTCATGACAATTATATTCGACATTTGTGTTACTGGATTTATATCTAGGGTACCTGCGGCAAATAAGGTCCTTATTGTAATAAAACCTATCTTAACTTCATGCTAAAATACTTCTATTTATGTTCAAAATTCACACACATAGGAATAGAAGGTATTAGCGCAAAATTTCAAAGGGATTTATTTGCTGGAGGTACCTAAATATTTTATACGAAGAAAAAGTTTTCATTATTACCAAACATGCTGTAACAATTTTTGAAGAAGTTAGGGGCTAGCGCACTGGCCAGCCCCAGTAGACCTTGAGGCACCTCCGTGGACAGGAACAGACCCAACACTGCAAGCAACATGCGGGTTGTACGATCAGTGCGACTTGATCGTCTGGCACACGCCTCCTCTGCTAGGCACTGCTTCTCAGCCTGCACCAGAAACAAATATGTTAAAACCTTAAATATTATAGTAATTCTTGAGTACTCGTATGAAGATCAACGATAGGCAAAAATCGCTTCTAAGAACTTAAAACATGTTGGTATAGTATATTTGAAGTCAAGTTTATTTCTTATATCGTAAATTTTTTTTGGATTTTATTTTTAAAATTAATTCATATTTTACTTTTTATTTATTGTAACAAATTTTTGTAAAATTGTATGAATTCTCCTTTATAATTTTGCTGTCAACTCTTTTCGCAATGAGGAAGCTTACTAATTTTTTCTTTCTATTTAAAATTAAATAATAATAATAATTTTTATTTCAGAGATATGACTCCATAGTTATTTTATGTAGGTACCTAAAAGACAGATTTTCATTAGTCGATAGGGCCCACATGCGGAGTGCGGAAGATTTCTGTGCTTATCATTGATTGTCATTGGGGTATTGACTAGTGCAAGCTCATTTTTATTGGTCAATAGAGCTCACATGCGGAGTGCGGAAGATTTCTGTGCTTATTTTCAGTAGGTGATCATTTATTGTCATTAGTTTACCGACAAGTGCTCATTTACATTGTTTGAAAGGGCTCGCCGCGGTTTTGTTTGGGCTTACTTTTAGTGGGCGATCTTTGCTTGCTATTAGTTTATCTTCTACTTCAAGCTCAATTACATTGGTCGACAGGGCCAGCATGCGGAGTGCGGCGATTTCTGTGCTTATTTGCATTAGTCAGTGATTGACTGAAACTGAAAGAGTTTATTGGCCAGTGATATGAGCCCGTAAGAATCACTCGCACTCTGTATGCGGACCCAATTGACTAATGTAAATATGCCATTCTGAAAGTCAGCACTTTATACAAAAACCGCTAACGGGTGAACCCTTTACCTGATCATCATTTCCAAAGAGGCAAAATGTGAGAGGAGCACCCTTCCCCCACCCCCAAAAATATATTATAGACCCCAATGAACATTTACAACGAAATCTTGTTTGAAAGGAATGTAGCCAGTTTCTGTGAAATAACGCATTAACAAAAACTGCAATTGCAAAACAATGTATTTTGAATAGATTCTAAGTTATTAATATGTAGTATTTTTACGGAACCCTCGGTGCGCGAGTCCGACTCGTACTTGCTCGTTTTTTTATTGATTGGTATCTAAACAAGTTTATTACACATTAAAAGTAATATCTTTACCTATTATAGAATAGAAAATTATAAGTTTTTTGTAAAAGACTTCTATTTGATCTTTAGCCTGATCCTGTGATATCACAGGCGAATCGGAGGCTTCAGACGTTCCATAATTTTTCAGAGCACCAACAAACATCGGTAGGACATTTTTTCTTCTTCATTTTTACACATAATGAAGTAGGATTATAATTACATTTCGTAAATTTTAAACTTCGATAAAAATCGCACTAGTCTTATTATATTTAAACATTTAATGAGTTGTCCACATTTTATACATAGTCATTTTTCAATAAAAACACATTTAGTGCCTAAATAAAAATAAGTTTTATGAAATATATTTTTTTGAACCATTGATTTCGAAAAGGGACAAATTAGGAATCATCAATAAAAGTGTGTGCAATTGAAAAAGGAAAGGACTCATTACTTTTCCTCGTACGAAATATGAATGGTCACGAGAAAAAATCGGAAATATTTTTGTCATATTCAACATAAGTAAGAGTCAGTTTGGGGGACGCTGAAAACGCTTTACCTAGCAGAAAATGCGAGGGATTTGTTATAAATGTTTTTTACCTGCGCCGTTCCTGATCAGACCGAATGGGCACGATGACTCGCTGAGATAAAAAACGATGTGGCATATAATTACTTTCCTTCGAAATAATTGAAAATGGAGTAGATCGATGGTTTCCAAAATGATTGAGTGGGAGAGTAACGTTCTGGGTCGATGAGAGGTAAAAATATTAACTTAGGCAATATTAATCAAATAGGAATTTAGATTGGTATGTAAATTTAGAATAAGGTACTTTTTCAACAGTTGTGACTACTTGAATATGGTGAGATAATGAGCTTTAAATTAATTTTGTTCTACGATAATTCACGTGGCAGTACATATCGTCATATCTATACACCATAACTTGTACTTTGAGATCAAAAGGGATCAAAAGACTAAGGCTTAGAACTATTATGCGGTCTCACAGCTACCGTGGTTGCGCGGAGAAAATCGCAAATCTAAAGGTGGCGTCCGCTGTAATTACGCCTGTAAAAATGAGATGTCACATTAAAGTAAGTAGGACTTGTGTGAAGAGAGAGTTCCATATAAGCATTGAAGTTTAAAAGCAAAAACTTTGTAAGTTTTCCTATAATCTATCTAAATAATTGGCGATAACAGATGGACAGAGAACTAAACAACCGAGTGAAAGAAAGCTTTTAGTGTTCAATTAGATTCTGTTTGTATTCACTCATTTAGGTGAGCGATTGTTTTGTACGATTTGTTGGTGTTAGCAGTGAGTTAAAGAATCACTAATAAAAATTCAATAAATACTTTCAAAGGTATTAAGATTTTAAAGAAAAATGGAAATTTCTCTACAAAACCAATATACTCAACTCACAGCCCCTTGGCACAGACGAAGATGCGCACATTCTCGACCACAGAACTCAAAAATACTTTCTTTCTATGTTCTATGATCGTGACCTACTCCGATGCAGTAGTTGCCATAAACAACTACGAGCACAGCGGGTGTAGATTGCGCTGTCAGTTAACTATAATTTCGTACTCTATGCAAGTTGCGATCAGACTTACGCGGCGGCGGGTGCGGGTAAACATGGCTGTGTGTGTTCTTAGCCTTAGTACAGCTATAATTTAATATTCTATTATTACGTATTCATCTTAATACGGGATTAGGTATCAGACTTCAGTTATACACATTATCAGATATTAGAAATGTTATATTCCCAGAAAATACACAGTCAACAGCACGTTGGATTATTTGAAAGGCCAAACTCCAATCGATTTTAAGCCTTAATCAGTCTGTAGTTAAGTTCAAAGTTAATTGCAAAAAATTAGTCATTTGTAGCGGCCCTGTGTACGTAATACAAATCACAGTGGTTTATATTTACTCACTACAACACGAATATATAGAAATGATATCTTCATTTACCATGGCATATTATGCTACCACCTACGTCGCGACGACTTTTGGAGATGTTTTTATATTCCTTGCTTTGTGTATACGAAACATACTATGCTATAAGATTTTTATGGGCAGTTTAACAAATAAATTCAGATATATTTCAATACTAATTGTTGTAAATAAATAAAATTAATGAATGTTGATGCGTGTTAATTAATTACGCAATATAAATACCAAATCATATCAAGAAGTCCTTATATTGTACGTAATAATATTTTGCCAACTTAATGGTTCTTGAATAAATTATGTATCTTTATTTTGGAAGACATAGCTACAGAATTTGTAGCTTTCATTTATCAAACAAAAGCACTGGAAACGAAAATAACTGGCAGAATCTTAGAGGACATCATAATATCGGTCCCTGTCATTTACACAATATGTTCACTGTGTATTGAGGTTTGAGTATAATGTACGAGTATTATTCTCAACCTTCAAAAGCTTTCCAGACATTGTCATTCTTATAATAAATTTCTGCACATTTACAAAGAAATATCACCTCGAATTTCTACGTTAGCGAAAAGAAACACTAACCAAAGCTATGAAAATTAAACGTTTTACTAAGATAACTAAAGTTACAGTAAACTAACAGCGAAATTGTTGAGATATTAATAAATTAGAAAGCCCATTAATAATCTCCCTTTGGCATTTTGATTAAAATTGTACATATTTAATCTCGTCGTCAAGTTATTTTCTCTTATATAATTTTCTATTTTGATCAATGAATCAATTTGGGTCTTCTCTATCAAATTTGTGAAAACGATGACGCTTATTCAAATGTTCAGTCGCTAATTAACAAAATGATTGTTTAATTAATTTGCGAGAAAGGCGCACCCGATGTATAAACCATTCTTTATTAATTGGAAACGATGGTATATGAACTTGATTATAAATTTTAATATAGGTTGATATAAGAGTTACATAAAAATAACAACTTATATAAAACGTGTTTGATAACAAAGTTTAAAATAGCTTGTTTTCCAGGAATGTTTGTGACAGTTAATTAGTGTTAACAAAATCAATCGTCAAAGACACGGGCGTTTGTTTCCAAGTGAACAAAAAAATTGGCTGCAAACTACATATAGCACTTAATGCTTTCAGTAGAATAACTGCTATTTTTAAATTTTTCAATAACATTTTTCAATTTTTATTTGTTCCGAAATTGTAATTTCAAGTTTCTTTAAAGTTATAGTGAAGATATACATTTAAGCTTATGAACTAATAATATGGCAAAAATAGTGACGCTTTTACGACTTTCCTTTTTAGAGAGAAAAATATTTTGCAAGATTTTGGGACCAAACAAAGAAGAAGATGGAAAATTTAGAGAGTGTTTATATAATTAGATAAATAGAAGTAGTGTCCAACCCTAATATTATCAGGGAAATAAAATCTGCCTACCTTCACTGGTTCAGATCATTATCATTAGCCCTTTTACGTCCCCACTGCAGGGGTTCAGGCCTTCCTTATGGATGGTTAAGGAGGATGGGCCATGACCCTCCACGCTGGCCCAATGCGAATTGGAGGGTATTAACGACTGCAAATGCAGCCGGGACCAACGGCTTAAAGTGCCTTCCGAAGCACGGAGTAGCTCGAGATAATAATTTTTTGGTCACCCATCCCGTGACCGACCCCGAAAATTACTTAACGACAACGACCGCGAGCCGCGGCGCTTATCCACTACCCCAGCGAGTTACTCAATGCAATGCCATGCTTGTTCAGATATGTAGAAAGAATGGGAGAGAATAAAGCTGTCAAAAGGGTGTACGTGGCGCAACCGACTGAGCGTCATCCGGTTGGGCGTTCGTCGAGTCGCTGAATCGTGAAGTAAGTTTTATATTTTTATTTC